TCCTCTAAGTCTTCCCACCAATATGACCAAGTTGCGAAAATAAGATCAAACAATTTTTAAACTTCACAGTCTTTATGAATGTATCAAAATATTGCTTTATTTATATTGAGCCAAAGGTCCTCACTCAGCTGTAGATTCAAGTTGTTAATAAAATGTCAATTTATAAATTATAGATTGATTTTTATAAAATTATTGTTTTCTATTTTTTGTTTGTTTAAACCTTCATTTGACGTTGTACCCATGATAGCTACCTTCTTATTAAATTTGCCTTTTTCTTCCCTGTTTAGTTTTCGTTTCCTTTTTTTGTTCATGACTTTCCTTAATATCATAAATCTTGATGTTACTTGTGTTTCAGGGTCGTATTATGAACCGGTTTTCACAAGACATTCGTATCTTAGATGTAGACCTCCACTCCTCAATGCTCCATGTGCTCACCACCACCTTCACAGTAATCGTTGTGATTGGATTCGCTTGCAGCATCAACCCTTGGATCATCTTGCCTATTAGCATTATAGTTTTGTTCTACTCTATTATTCAGGTAACAATTCTTTGCATAATTCTCAACTTTTTTATATTTATATTAGCAGATCACTGAGTTATCTCCACTCTATTTCGTTTTAGATGATGAGAGATTGGTAGTTGAATTTTTCCACAATGATATGAATAGAGCTGGCTTTTCCATTGAATTGCCCATAACCTTGCTTTCCCAAATGGTTTTATCATTCATGTTGGAATGGAGTGTAGTTTCTACCTCACCTAGGACTTATCAGCACCCCCACTGGAAGCCGAACCATGACAGTATAGAGTGTGATCTCGACACCTTAATCCCTACGCCACATTGTCACGACTGCCCGCAGGTCATAGGGAAGATGGGAATTTCAAGAAAGGCCAACCCTTTTCTCATATCACATTCTGTGGCGGGATTTTCGGTGAAGCAAACTTATATTTGCTATAGCTATCGACGACATTACTTATATTTTGCTTTAGAGTAGTTTTTCGGGACCACCAATGCATCATATTTATGAGTTATGTCCACCCTATTTCGTTTAATATGATGAAGGATTGATGACCCAAGGGCACTCGTGGCAATGTGGCGTAGTGATTAACTTGTCGAGCTTACTCGCTGTACTGTCATTTTTCTACTTTCGTCGGAGGTGTTGATAAAACCTAGGCGAGGCCGAAACCACAATCCATCCTGCATGAGAACACTATTTGTGAAAGCAAGGTTATGTGCAATTCAATGGAAACATCAGTTCTACTAATATCCTTGTGGGAAAATTCAACTACCAGTGTTCATCACCTTAAACAAATGGGGTGGACATAACTTACTATTACTAGAAGTGGGTTGACCTCGTTGTCGCAACTTGGTCTTGTTCTCAGT